GTTTAACTCTAACCCTGTTGTTTGGCTTAACAATAGAAAAGTTATTTTGATTTTCTGAATTGTATAAATCATCCCATTTGATTGAATGACTATCCCATTGATTGTTATCTTACTGGTTATTGAACCACATTTTTCTGTACCTGGGAAACAGGACGGCACAATTATCCTAAATTGTCTTAGTGGCCACAGGTGGTGCATTCCAGCTGACTCAGTGGTCCCAAGACCAGGACAGCGCAATTACTCTAAATTACCTCGATGGCTCTAGATAATGTATTTCTGTCAACTCAGTGATCCGGAGACCCGAAACTGTATTAACATGCTTAATTCTGCTTCTGTAATCTGCTTTTTTTCGAGCCAGGTGCCTCATTCCAAACCTTGAGATGTAATCAATACCTTTGTGATCTTTGCCTATATAAGTCTGGTTTTGCCACCATCTTACTACTATGAGATTTGTCCCGGATTGCAATAAATGTGACTCTTTAATTCGACTTCTTGAGGCGTCCTTCTGTGATTTGCGGGGTACATTACAACAATATGGCATAACGGTGACTCACCTCCACATGGAGGTGACCAGGCCTGGGGTTTATACGGGTGCACCTTAGCTAAGATGAATCTAAGCTCCCAAGGGACGTGGCCAGGCGGGCATCTGCATGAGGATCTGTGAAAACAGGTCACCCCCTCCCTTGTCTGTCTCTCGCCACCGATCATCATGGGTCGGGACAAAGTTTGTTTGTGTGGGACTAGCCAATTTACTACAGAGAAGGGGGACTGGATACAGCTCCAGCCTGGGCTAGTCTACTAAGAGAGTATAAGTCTGCCTTGGATACTCATTACTGGTCTGTGTGAAGTGAAAGCTACTTTGATCTATTCTACTTTTCTTTCGATATGCCTGGCTGAACGTTTGGGCTGAACCAGTAATGGTTTGCAAAAGTCTCTTGGCAATTGCGAGAATTATTTTTCTCAGAGTCTTTTGCTCACTATTAAAGGGGAATCAGCCCACTTAGCTAATAAAAATTTCTGTCTATCAGTTGCTCTTACCTCGGTTGTAAATTTACTGTATTAAATTGAAGTTCTAGGGTAGATTTAAAGGTTATGATGTTAATGCTTTTGATTTGCAGAAATTCTAAATGGGAGTGGCCCACTTTCCAGGTAGGATGGTCGGACGTAGGGACTTATGATTTAACCACCGCTTTTCAGGTTCACCATGTTGTCTACGGCTGGCCGGGTCACCCCAACCAAATTCCCTATATTATATTTTGACTGAAAAACCAAGGTGGTTAAAGAGTTTTCAGAATGAGGAAAAGAAATTGGGACAGAGACAGACAGTCTGGGTCAGACGGCCCAGAGGAGCAAAGCTCCCCCTGATCTCCAAGATCCAGGTGAGGAGGCACTCCCCGGGGTCAGGCCTCCCCCGTATGCTCCTCCACCCACCCGTCCCACGGTGGCAAAAGACCCTGATCCGGAGCCCTGCCTCCTCCACAGCTGGTTTCCACCAGTCCAGGGCCCGGCTCCGTTCTCCCCTCCTCGCACTGGGCAGGGACGGCATGTGAAGGCAGGGAGGGGGAGGACCGGCGGAGCCCTGCGGGCGTCCCTTGGTCCCGAGGCTCCTGTGTTGCCAGCCTTTTGTGGTCTGTGTCCCCTTTTCTACCGGTGGCCTGTACAGTTAGAGGGGCCGGGGTCCTTCTTTCTCCCAGAACCCTCAGGGGTTAATCTCTCTTTTGGAGTCCGTGATTTTTTATAATTGTCAGCAGCTACTGCAAACCCTTTTCACTTCAGAAGAGAGAGAGAGAGGGTCAGGGCGGAAGGGAGGAAACTTGTTCTGGGTCCGGATGGACAGCCTACATCTGACCAAGACAGATTAGAGGCTGCGTTTCCCTTCAGGCGACCCGACTGGAACCCCAATAGTAACAGGGGAAAGGAGGCTCTCGATCAGTATCGCCAGACTCTATTGAGGGGCATCCGAGCTGCTGCTCAGAGACCCACAAACATCTCTAAGGTGACAGAGACAGTCCAGGGGCCTAACCCTAATGCCCCGGAAAATCAGAGGGCTGTCAATGTTGCATTTGTTTCCCAGTCGACCCCAGATGTTAGAAAAATTGCAGAAGTTAGAGGGCTTTGAGGAGAAATCAATCTCTGAGTTGGTTGAGGTGGCCCAGAAGGTTTTTAACAATCAGGGAGGATCCGACGGCAGGTTTAAACACCCGGATGGCGAAGGTCCTCCCAGCCATAAGCGAGAAAAAAGGCCCAAGGGGCTGAAGAGACAACAAGGGCAAAGAAAAACCTCGTGGGAGAAAAGGAGTCCAACCCCGGCTTGGGAAAAATCAGTGTGCATTTTGCAGAAAGGAAGGACATTGGAAAAAGGGAGTGCCCTGAACGTGCGGGGGAACCGACTCCCTCCCATGCTGGTGGAGGAGGTGGATTAAGGTTGTCAGGGCTCAGCTGGCCCCCGAGAACCCAGGATAACCCTGACATTGGGGGGCCAAAAGGTGGACTTCCTTATGGAACTCAGCACTCACTCAGGCCCTCTGGTGGGGAAAGGAAAAAAGAGTAAACATTTCAGCTTCCTGAAAACAGCTGCTTCAGGACTACTGAATAGATTCTGCAGGGTATCCACCTCATTCCCATCTCCAAAAGCACTCCACACATTTCTACCATATTGTTTGTCCAAAGGTATTATTGTGTATATATTGCCCACCTAATCACAACTTTCAGAGGCTCCTCTAATACTTTATGAAGTCTAAATTTGGCAACCTGTCAAGATAAGACCCTTCCATTCAACTAGTCTGATCTACTCATATTTCCTAGATGGTCCCAGCCTCCACATATCTGGGTGCTATTTACATTGCATGGAGTATAATTCTAACTACTCCACTAGTCTCAGTTTTATAACAGACACAGGTTCTTCTTGCATGGATCTTACCTTCAACTAGAAAGAGAGGCATAAAACAAACAAAGGAAAAGGCTAGTTCATTTGATTGTGGTCAGTACAACAGAAACAATAGTTCCCTGCTGGAACGTAAAAGCTGCAATTTAGCCGAAACCGGTTTGGCTCAGTGGATAGAGCGTCGGCCTGCGGACTGAAAGGTCCCAGGTTCGATTCCGGTCAAGGGCATGTACCTTGGTTGCGCACACATCCCCAGTGGGAGATGTGCAGGAGGCAGCTGATCGATGTTTCTAACTCTCTATCTCTCTCCCTTCCTCTCTGTAAAAAATCAATAAAATATATTTAAAAAAAAAAAAGAAAGAAGCCCTGGTGAGCGCCCCGGAACTGGCCCTGCCAGACCTACCCAGGGAATACAGGGATATATCTCCTCACACTGCCCTTACAGGAGGCCAAGGAAGTGGCTAAAAGACCAGTAGGGCCCCTAGAAGTTCTCGTAGCCCTACCAGCGTGAAGCCTACTCATCTGCCAGAGGAGCAGAGGCTAGCTGAGAAACTAAGGACCCGGGAAGGAGAGGCTGGATGGCTAATTCTGCCAGACGGAAGGCCTATAGTGCCAGAAGCCCTGAGGCAGACCATCGCTTCCCAGACCCACCAGAGCACCCACCTGGGGGGAACGAAGCTATCAGAACTACTGGGAAGAGAATT